TTAATTTCATAGTCAAAATCAGTTACAGACATGCACTTGGCAGAATCGGGAGAGTATATCAACATCTAAAAACTGCAAACAAACAGAGGGGCACACCAACTCCGGCCTCCCCGAGTTCCTTTTGCCCCTAAGAATGATCTCTCGTGCTTTCGCCTGCCCTGTTTTTCGGTCCTCACACACCCTGGTCAAGCACATTTGTAATCTGCCCCTGCGGTGAGCCAGATCCAGAGGACTTCACTATGCGATTTCACGTCACCGCTATTGGCCTATTTGAGTTGCGACCCGTCCACTGGCCCCGAGGAACTGGAAAGGCTCACGACTGAAACACACATCTGGCCATGTGCTGCTGCCTAGGCCCCGCCCCGGATATGCAGCGTCTTTAATAAATCCTCAGTGGCACGGCAGGAAGTTGTACTCAAGACCCTGCATTCTGGTCCAAGTTCCCTTGAAAATTCATTCTCCAACAACATCCCCATTCTTCAGGGCCGGTCAGGCCCTGCAGAACATAAAAGAATAATTTACTCTAAACTTGGCAAAAAGCAAGATAATTGCTTGCCTGTGGACATTATGGCATCTTGGTAGCATTTCTCAGTAAACATGCTGGCCCTCCCCTGTATCTGCTCATTGGTCTTTTTGTTTTTATTTTGTCTTTTTGAGACAGGATCTCGCTATGCAGCTCAGGCTGGCCTTGAGCTCCCTTTGTAGCCCAGGCTGGTCTCGAACTCCCAACGATCCTCCTGCCTCAGCCTCCTCAGTGCTGGGATTACAGGCGTGCGCCACACGCCCGGCTGTTAGAGTGTATCTGGCCAACTATCAACCTCAACTCACAGTTCTGCAAGGAAGGTAAAATTCCGTCACCGTGCAGTTGTTTAAAAGCAAATGTGACGAGCACGAAGGAACAGAGGTAATCCATGAAGACGCACGGACAGGGCCCTCGGCCTAGCCTAGTTTGCAGTGCTGGGAAAGGCCTTCCTTGAAAGAGGCCTTAATGGCCTCCGAAGGTTCAGGAGAACTAGATCGGTGCCCTCCAGAAAGGAAGGTGTGCGAGGGCATTCCACAGGGACAGCGCCTGCGAGCCGCAGAGGCCGCGAAGTGTGGGTGTAAGAGCGGAGAATTCACCCACCAGACTCCCACAGAGGATCCCACCGTCTCCACCAGGTTCCCAAATGCTTCTCAAGAGAAACACCTAATTTTAAAAAATAAACAATTTGGCTAGGCATGGTGGCGCACGCCTATAATCCCAGCACTCGGGAGGCTGAGGCAGGAGGATCGTTGGGAGTTCGAGACCAGCTTGGGCTACAAAGGGAGTTCAAGGCCAGTCTGAGCTGCATAGCAAGACCCTGTCTCAAAAAGACAAAACTAAACAAAACAATTTTTGCAAACACAGTCTTGAGGTACATTCTGCACATCTTTTTCCCAGTCTTACTATCTTCCTTACAGCTCTATTCTATTTTTTAGCAGTCCCAAGAAGACAGGTTTACATAACAGAAACGCAGTCAAGTTCAAAGGGAGCCACAAGCATTTAAAGAAGTAGTGCAAAGGGCTGGGGATTTAGCTCAGTGGCAAAGCGCCTGCCTGGCAAGCGCAAGGTCGTGAGTTCAGTTCCTGGTACCGGAGGAAAAAAAAAAAAAAAAGAAGTAGTGCAGCCAGCACCCCACGAGAGACAGTCCCTCTGCCTCTTCACCCAGCCTGGATTTCCCCTGCGGGTCTCCCCGTACACTGCCCACCCCACGCCACACCTCTCTTTTCTTCCCTCTCATAGGAGCCAGACAAAATTTCCTCTAGAGCCCTGAGCAGTGCAGATTATAATGCTGATAAGAACAGATACTACACTCGATCTTAGCCAAAAGGCCGAGAAGAGATACAGATTATAATTCACCAGGTTGTTTTAGATGAAACCCCTATCCCATCAACTCCACCTTTTAACTTCAAGGAAGCATTTATTTATTTATTTATGTTTTTGAGACAGGGTCTCATGCAGTTCAGTCTGGCCTTGAGCTCACTGTGTAGCCCAGGCTGGTCTCGAACTCGCAAACATCCTCTTGCCTCAGCCTCCCAAGTGGTGGGATTACAGGTGTGTGCACCACCACACCTGGCTAGTTCATCTATTTTATTTTTATTTTTTTATTTGTTTGGTACTGGGAATTGAACTCAGAACCTTGCACTTGTTAGGCAGGTGCTTGTGCCATTGAGCTATATCCCTGGCCCTAGTGCATCTATTTTAGATACTAGCTGCACTTCAAAGAAAATCGCTGAGTTTAATACACTTCCCCTAAACACTTCACCACACATATCACTAACTAGGGAAAGTTTTTGTTAACATTTTTTCCTTTTGAACTAAAATTGTCATATTAACAAATCTTAATTTTACATTTGCTGAGTTTTGACAAATGCGTATGTCTGTATAACACAAACCCTTGTCAAAATGTTCATTACTATCACCCTAGGAAATGTTCTCCCCACGCAGTGCCTGCCCCGCCTTCATGGGCAACAGAGTTTCCAGCTGGTTTTGCTCTGTGGTTTTTTTTTTTTTTTTTTTGAGACAGGGTCTCGCTATGCAGTTTGAGCTGGTCTTGAGCTCACTTTGTAGCCCAGGCAACTCACAACGATCCTCCTGCTTCAGCCTCCCGAGTGCCGGGATTACAGGCGTGCACCACCATGCCCGACTCATGCTCTGTGTTTTATAAGGTGGTCCTCTTGCCCTCGCTTGTATCTAAAGCTTCCCCACTAGGGGCTGGGGATTTAGCTCATCGGCAAAGCGCCTGCCTGGCAAGCGCAAGGTCGTGAGTTCAGTTCCCGGTTCCGGAGAAAAACCAAAAACCAAAAAAAAAAAACAAAAAAAAAAAAAATAAATAAAGCTTCCCCACTAAATGAAGTCCACGTCATGACTTAAAAAAATAATTTACAATGATATAGTAACATTTGTAGCCCTTTATACAATAGTATCACTGTTATTTTAGAGAAATACTCAGAACTATGAAGGACATTTTATACAAAAATATTGATGTTTGTTCTGGCGTTATTTTTAAAAAAAATTTTTTGAGACATGGTCTACCTCTGCAGTTCAGGCTGCCCTTAAACTCACTGTGTAGCCCAGGTTAGCCTGGAACTCAGGATGATTCTCCTGCCTCAGCCTCCCACGTGCTGGGATTGCAGGCATGCGCCACCCTACCCAGCCTTCTGGTGTTACATGTGCAGTGAAGAATTGAAACCCACGTGAAACAGTAACCACTGTGGAATGATTAAGTTTGTGAGGCACTGCTGATATAGGACCAACCTGAAGCAGTAGTTTAGGATAGTGCTTGCTACATAATTGTCCTTTTTTGAGTTTGAATAAGGCTGTAACATGTGTGTATGTGCGTGTATGATAGCGGAGACTGAACCCAGGGCCTCGCGTCTGCTAGGCAGGCACTTTACAGCTAACTACAGCTCCAGGCCAAGGTTGTAACTTTTAAGTATCCTCCAAACGGGTGCCCAGGGATGACCTGGGTTTCATCTTTTGGGCCACCCCATGTTGAACCTGGAGAGAACCTGGATGAGTGTTTTGTTTAAAAAAAAAATACATGACAGCCTGACGTAGTGGCACAGGCCTCTAATTCCAGCACACCTAGAAGCTGAGGCAAGAGGAGCACAAACCTGTGCCTAACTGGGCATTTTAGCAAAGGAGTGAGAACCTGTCTCAAAAAATCAAAAGAACGGGGGATATACGTAGCTTAGCACTAAGGTCATGGGTTCAGCCTCCTAGTGCCGTGCCAAAAAGTTATCACTATAATATATATATATATAAACTGTACAGGTTAATGAGTTTCATTGCAACATTTACACACACCATGCCTCGATCAGGTCCACCCTCCCCCACCCCAGTCCCCTTCATCTTCCCTGAAAGTCCTCCTACTATTTTCAGGACACACACACACACACACACACACACACACACACACGAGAAAATATAAGCCAGGTGTGATGGCACACGCCTATAATCCCAGCACTTAGGAGGCTGAGGCAGGAGGATCACTTCAACTTTGAGGCCAGCCTCAGCTACATAGTGAGTTCAAGCCCAGTATGAGCTGCATAGTGAGACCCTGTCTCAACAAACCAAAAAGAGAGAGAAAGGAAATCTACCATGTCTGTATTTCTATGTCTGGCTTATTTTGCGTAGAATGATACGCTCTGGATCCATCCGTTTCCCTGTGACACGGTTTTATTCTTTCTGTGGCTGAACACCGCTCTGCCATGTGTATACACGTGCAGCACTCGTGCTTTATCCGCTCACCTGTGCCGGGCACCTGGGCTGATCCCACACCCTAGCCACTGTGAGCAGAGCCCCCGGGAGCGCAGGTGTGCAGGCCTCTCTGCGCGGGCTTCCCCCCTCTTTCTGTCCTCTTTCTCTTTCCGTTCCTCTCTTCCCAAGGTGGCCAGGGCCCCTCAGCAGGCAGGCAGGGCAGGTGTGAGGCTGTGGACAGGAAGAAGGGAGTCCCGGGCACATACTTTGTCTTCCTCCTGTTTTGCCTTTTCTGGCTTTGCTACATGCACATTTGAAACGAAGTTGTTTAGAAGAAACCTGATCCTTAACATAGTTCTTACTGTATCTCATTTCCCAACTCTGGAAGGAGAGTTACACATACACACACACACACACACACACACAAACACAGAGCCATCCTTTTTTCTTCATGCCCTTCCCAAACCTCCACTTTGGTCTTTAAAATGACTGAAGATAGCGTAACAATATAGAATAACGTTGATCACAAATTGTCCTAAGAGAAAAAAAAATTTATTACTGTGTTTAAAAAGATTAAGGAGCAGGTGCTGGGCGTGGTGGTGCAAGCCTGTAATCCCAGCACTCTGCAGGCTGAGGCACGAGGATTGCTGTGAGTTTGAGGCCAGCCTGGGCTACAAAGTGAGTTCAAGGTCAGCCTGAACTGCATAGTGAAACTCTGTGGCAAAAAGACAAGAAAAAAGAAAAAGATTAAGGGAGCAGGGCATAATGACACATATCTGTAGTCGTAGCACTCAGGAGGCTGAGGTAGGAGGATTGCCATGTGTTTGAGGTCATAGCAAGACCCTGTCTTAAAAAAAACAGAAATAATTTTGTTGGTGTTTTGAGACAGGGTTTCACTATGCAGTTCAGGCTGGCCTTGAGCTCACTATGTAGCCCAGGCTGGCCTCGAACTCCTGACAACCCTCCTGCCTCAGCCTCCCAAGTGCTGGGATTACAGGTGTGCGCCACCACGGCCGGCAGACGCAGCGATTTTTAAATTACCAGTCCTTTCTGTTGAAGAGGGCAGAGATAGGCGAGACAAGGTGGATGGTGGTTATTTCTCTGTAGTCTCTCAATCCAGTCGCATAATTGGAGTTAAATAAATGCATTAGCCTGGCGTGATAGCACACGTCTGTAATCCCAGCACTTGGGAGCCTGAGACAGGACGACTGCTGCGAGTTCAAGGCCAGCCTGGGCTGCAAGGTCAGTTTAAAGCCTAACTACAAAGCAAGACTCTGTCTCTAAAACCAAACAAACAAAAACTAAATGAATGCATTAAATGCCCCCCCACCGCATCTCCCCTGTGAAAACGGAGAGAATGATGTAATCAAGCCAGGGAACGGTCCCAGCGCGCTCGAAGGGGTCCGGGTCTTCCCGCCCCGCAGGCAGTGCCGCAAGCCTCCGGGTCCGCGTAGGCCCCGCCCCCGCCCCGCATCCGCCAGTCCCGGCCCCGCCCACCCACAAGGCCCCGCCCACGCCTCACAGTCACGTGACAGGCCCGGTTCCAGCCTGTGGCGGCGGCCGCAGCGCGGTATTCGTCATGGAGCCGGCGCCGCGGAGCTGTCCGTGGCCGCGGTGGCTGCTGCTGTTCCCGCTGCTCCTGGGCCTCAGCGCGGGTAGGTTCGGCCAAAGGCTCACCGGCGCCGGGGGCCTCCTTCTGTCTCGGGGGGGTGGAATTTTGTTCGTGGCTTTGTGGTTTTTTAAAAACACATTTCTTTCCCTGGTTCTTACCTTGCGTAATTCATGCTGCTTTTAAACCTCACACTTCTTTTTTTTTTTTTTTTTAAATCCACGTGCCAACCTGGACTGCACCGCGAGACCCAGTCTCAAAAAACAAAAACAACAACAACAAGAATAAAACAGTAGGATTCGGGGAAACTGCTGATGAGTGAGTTTTCAGACGTCTTTCAGCACCCTGGCTCCTGGTCCGAATCCAGGAGTGAGAATTCCAGGGAGCCGCAGACTTGCCGTGTGATCTCAGCCAAGTTGCTCAGCAGTTCTTGTTAGTAAAATGGGGTCATCTGGCTCTCTAACTTGTGCCCGGAACATGTCAAGTAAGCTGTCCCCCCGCCCCACATTTTAACAGTGGGCGCTGCGGGGGAAGGGACAAGTACCAGGGATTAGATTAAGTCGGGGGACTGGTGTGAGCCTTGACAGTTTCTTTTTGTTGTTGTTGTTTTTGTTTTTTTTTTGAGACAGGGTCTCACTGTGTAGTTCAGGCTGGCTCTGAACTCATTGTGTAGCCCAGGTTGGCCTTGAATTTACCTCGATCCTCCTGCCTCAGCCCACCGAGCACTGGGATAACTGGCACATGTCACCACTGCCAGCCCTTATTTTGGAGGGACTCCAGCCTTCTTGTCGTTTTCAAGGAGACTGTAACCTCGTGTTACTTTGTAGAACCTTGTAGCCATATCTGTAATTTTTCTAGCCATTCGGTTTCACTTCCTAGTTCTCTTTTCATTATTATTATTATTATTATTTTTCTGGCTCAAGAGGCTTGAAATTTGAGAAAAGGGGAAGTAGAAAGCAGAAAACTCACTCACCAGGTCCTCTTCTTATTATCTTTCTCTTCTTTTTGACTGGTCTCACTGTGCTGCCCTTGTACTTCTTCTGGGCTACACGGTTTGCCACCACACCTTGCCTGTCATCTTTATTTTTTTTGAGACTAGTCTTGCTACGTAGTTCAGGCTGGCCTTGAACTCAGCATGTAGCCCAGACTTACCTCTAACTCATGGTGATCCTCCTTCCTCAGCCTCCCAGGTGCTGGGATCACAGACATGCTCCAACACACGGTGCTCTTGTGTATCATCTTTTGGGAAAAGATTTAATTAGCAATAATCGCACCTTGGATAAACCTCACTGGCTGCAATACTGCCACTGCGCAAAGCTTATCTTTCAACATTACCTTTAAAAAAAAAAATCAACCAGCAACTACTCTCATTTGAATGTTGGTACTGCAGGAAAAGGTGACAAAGCAAATGTACTTAACCTGAGCTGGGTGTGGAGGTACATGGCTGTGCTCCCAGCATTTTGGAGGCTGAGGCAGGAGGATTTTGAATTCAAATCCAGCGTGGGCTTCTTACCAATACCTTGCCTCAGACAAATAAAAAGTATTTAACTTGTCCTCTTCCAATACATATTTTGAAGATAGAAAAGTTAACTAAGGAAAATTGGATTTCGAGATCCCAATTAAAAAAAAAATCATTGAGTTGGAAAAGCTGTAGAGCACTTGCTCTGTCCATGGAAGGCCTTGGGTTTTGATCCACAGCACTGCAAAAGCCAAAACAAAAACATGACAGAAAGATAGAGAGGAAAAAATGGAAGCCCTAGCTTGCTGTGGCGCTATTCCGTTTGGCTTTTTTTTTTTCCTTATCTCCACAATATATTGGGGCAGGTAAGTTGCCCAAATATTTCTGGTAGGTTGCATGGTCGTCTCTATGAGGCTTGGGATCCACCTGGAGGTCAGACCTTCCCTAGGAAAATGACCGTGAACTTGCGTTTCAGGAGCTGTCATTGACCGGCCGGCAGTAGAGGGCAAGGAAGTATGGGACTACGTGACTGTCCGGAAAGACGCCCACATGTTCTGGTGGCTCTATTATACCACCAACCCCTGCAAGAACTTCTCACAGCTGCCCCTGGTCATGTGGCTTCAGGTAAATACCGCCTGGCCTCAAGTTGAGGCTCACATCTGTCGCTCTTACCCCTTTGCTTGTTCGGCGGTGAGGGACTGACTGCATGTAGCAGCCAGGCCCAGGGCTGTGGCATCCTTATAAGGGAGGCTGAGGCTAGGGCACGGACAGCCTGCTGAGTTACAAGGGGGAAGGGGTCTATCTAGCCTTTAGCCGCCGTCTTTTTACACTGAGTCCAGACAGTTGCGGGAAACTTTACCGAAGCTGCCCGTAACACATTTGATTCTGTGCCGATAGAAAGTGTAATGAAAACCTCCAAAGCAAGGGCTGAGGCCCCGCAGTCCCTCTTCTCCCACAGTCCTGTCTGGGACCTTAACGTCTTTCCCCACAAAGGCTCACCTGTGGGAAGGGCTGCTGCCCGCCTTTGGTGTGTGTCTCAGCGTGAACACCAAGCTCCAGCCTTCTCCCTACGTGTGTTTGTGTTTCCACTCTGAGCTCTGATGGAGGGCGAGCGGCTGTGGGAACCGTGTTTAGGGACAGGCAGGGATCCTTCTTGCCTTTCTGAAATATCTGTCCCGGGCTATAGGCATTGGCTGCCGACCCCAGGAAGGGGTAGAGGAACAGGAAGATGTGGGCAGAGCCCAGCGGGGGGCTGCTCGTAGCTCACTAATAATTAGCTACCGTCTCTGTGGATGCAGCTTTTACCTCCGGGCCACATTGCAGACTTTCTGCTGAGCTAGAGTACAGATGGACAGTTTCCAGGAGGTTCCTTTCTCCGTTAGGATCTCCCCATGGTCCTCTTCTGGGGCAGTATGTGGGGCTGGCTCAGAGGCCCTGGACAGGAAAATACTCGGAAGCCCACAGTGTCGGCCCGACCTGGGGATGAGCTGCAGAGCGGTTGTGAGGGAGAGAGATGGGTATGGATGAGCCGGGGCCTGCTGGGCAGGAGACCTGGCTTTTCAGAACCTTTTCAACCATTGTCAGCCCTGGCAAGGCACTGCCCTTCTCTGGGCCTTCCTTTTCTAAATCGAGGGGGATTTCGGTGGTTTTCAAACTTTCTGTTACTCAGCAGGACTTTCTTTCACGTCCAGTGAAATCTCACATTTGGCATCTCCAGCAGAGCAAAGCCGAAGTGCTGAGGCTAGGGTGGGTCAGGGCCCCATGTCCTATGCACGTGACCTCCTCTTTGTCCCTGGGTGCCTACTGGGTACTTTCCTGACTTTCCAGAAAACAGCTTGGAAAAACACTAAATTTCAGAAGTCGCGATCTATTCTTTGGTTAAGTGTAGGGTTGTTTAAACTGAAGTAGTACCCTGTGGTTGGAAACCAGGACATTTCCTTCCTCTTACCAAAAATTAGGAGGTCTAGCAACTTGGGGCCTAACCTTAGTGTCCTCAAAGCTATGCGGTGCGGTGTCCTTCTCTCAGAGAGGACAAGGGCTCTGGGGGAAGAGCAGCCTCTACTCCCATCTGGTCTTCTCTGCTCCTTACTGGCCTCTGCCTGGCCCTGGAGGTCATCTAGTTTGTGACCCTCAGTTAAGTTAACGTTTGAACTGAGACATTCTGTGAAGCTGAGCAACTGAAGACACAAAATCCCTCTTCTCTTTCCCCAGAGGCCCAAGAGGGAAAGAAAACAATTGCTTGCTACCTGAAAGAAACAATTGCTTTGTGTGGTGGCGCACGCATGTAATCCCAGCACTCAGGAGGCTGAGGCAGGAGGATCATTGTGAGTTTGAGACCAGCCTGGGCTACAAAGTGAGCTCAAGGGCAGCCTGAGCTGCATAGGGAGACCCTGTCTAAAAAAGACTAAAAAAAAAAGAAAAAGAAAGAAAGGAAGAAACAATTCAGATTAAAAGGAGATGTATTTTAGCAGGCTACCAAGGGTTCATGTGCGATTTCTGGGTGGGGTAGGGGAGTGTTTGAGAATTGAGGTCACACTGAGTTGAGGTGAATGGTGTGTAGCAAACTATTTCTGGCAGCCTTTCAAGCCACAGAAGCGTTTCATTTGGTCCACTGACACATTTACCATCTCCCTGAGTTCCCGGGAGCCCTGGGCTCTAGTAATAACCCCTCCCGAAGTTCTGGATAAAAGATTTTGCAATCTTTTTTTTTTTGTAATCAGCTAGAACAGAAGCTTCCTCCTGCCAATTTCTCCTTGCCAGGGGGAGAGGGAGGTACCTGCTGCCACTGTCACTTCCCTGAAGCAGCCTGGGGAGTGGGATTTCTCCCACAAAGACCCAGGCCCTCAGGATTCTGTTTCCCTTTTGCTTTGATCTTGCCCATCCTGTTAGGCTTTCGTTGCGGGTACATACTTGATTTTCATTCATTGCATGTTGCGTATTGCTGTCTGAGCATTTTCTACTGTTGCCGTGTCGTCTTCCATAGTTTGCTATTCCAAATGGCATCGTTATGCATCCTGCAGATGTGATTTACTAACCCGTTTCCCTCTTCTGCGACTGTGGAGTTGCGCCCTTGCTGTCCTTGGTGTTGCTGCAAATAGCTCTGATGAATGTCTCCAACTGAACTGGTTTGTGAACTTCGTACCCCTGTGTTAGGAAATCTCAGGCTCCCCTTCAGCACAAAGTAGTAGCCTCTGATTTCATCAGGCAGGCTCAAGTGTTCGTGTGGACGCGTGGGCGACCTCTCCCTGCGGGGGTCCGTTGCCGCCCTCCATCCGGCCCTCAGCCCCGCCTCCCTCTGGCATCCTTGCGTTAGATTTCCCTAGGCAAACTGGCCTGGCTTCTGTTGTGCTGTGGTGATTATTCCCTTTCATCTTTTCTTCTCTCCCTTCCGGCCCATCCTGTTGTCCACGAGAGCCCAGGTCCTTTTATTCTAGGCCCAGGGCCTTTCCTGTTCGCCTGGGCTGGTGACGCCGTTCCCATCGCCCCCTCCCTCCAGCTCGGCTGATTTTGCCAGAGAACCTCCTCTCCCCTGACTGTCTCCTGAGGAGCTTCTTCACACGGCCAGAAGAAGGTCCACCCCACCCGCTTCGTTCCACCCCTTCCTTTCTCTCCCCTGAGCCTGGCCAGTCGGAGCCATGGAACATGTTTCTGTCATGCTTTGGGGTCCATGACAGCAAGGTTAAGCACAGGACCCTGCCTCTCCCCTGCTCCCAGATGTCCGCAGTTCCAGGCACTCCCTGCCGGGGACTTGCGCCTTTGCTATGTTTCATACGGGTCCCTTTGTGGATCCTCAGGGCCTGAGGAGAGAGAGGCTCCCATTTTTGCTGAGGAGAAAAGGTTCACAGGCCCAGAGTCTAGTCTTGGGAGACCCTTCTCATTGCTGAGTTGCCACAAACCCGTCTGACCTTACTGCCTTTCATGGGAGAGGGCTCAGATGAGATGTTTCTGAAGCTGTCTTCTGGCACTGAAAGTCTGCAGGTCCGCATCAGGGCGAGCCTGAGGCACAGAATCGAGATAGGAAGGTTCTCTGGAGGCCTTAGCCCCGCTTGGTCCTTTCAAAGAGAAGGACTTCAGCGGCTGCCGGGGGAGCTCGGTGGGTGCAGACGCCCCTGTTCACCGGAGAAGTTGGGTCTTTTGTGCAGGGCGACCCAGCCGTTCCTAAATCACGAATGGTTTCCAGTGAACGAGGTCACTCTTGTCGCAAATAAGATTTGACGACATTTTCTCTGGGTTTTGTCTCGTTTGCTGTGTCTCTTGCACAGGGTGGTCCAGGCGGTTCCAGCACTGGATTTGGAAACTTTGAGGAAATTGGACCCCTTGACAGTGATCTGAAACCACGAGGGACCACCTGGGTACGTGAGGCCCTCCCCCAGCTGTGCCCGCCCTCTAGCCTCTCAGGCCGGCGCCACCCGGCCCTGCCCCGCGGGGGTGGGGCCACAAATCTATCATCCCGTCCGGCCCGCCTTTCCTGAGGCTTGGCCCCGGGTCCTTTCTGGCCCGGCTTCCCCCTGAGCTGTCTCAGGACAGCTTATCCAGCCAGTGTTTCCTACCTTCTCCCCCTGCGCCTAGAAACTGCTCTGGCGCACACCCTGGGACCCTGTCCTTCCCAGCAGCCTCACCCTTCTCGTTTTACTTGCTTGCTGAGCTCACCCTCGGCACCCCACTCAGCCCCTGCTTCCACATGCGCAAAGCCTCAAGCCTGGGAGTCGGGCTGTTGCACAACCAGCTGCTCCAGGCCGCCGCCACCTTTGCTGTGTGCCCCTGCTTGCCCTCCTCAGCAGCACCTGTCACCGGGAGTGTTCCCGGCCCTCCTCCGGCTCCCCTCCTCAGGAGCGAACCTGTCGGGTCTGCCTTTGTGCCTTCCTCTTGTCTTGGCCTGGAACGTTCCTCCGCTTGCTGTTCGGTAGCAGTCGCAGAGGGCCCCACTAGCTGGCCCCCGAGCCTCCCGGATCTAAGGGCCGTGAAGCTGGGGCAAAGAGCATGAGTGAAGGGTTAGGAGCCCAGCGTCCAGGCCCCGTCCTGCCATCACCTGTCCAACCTTGTGACCTCAGACAAGCCCTGGGCCCTTTCTGGGCTAAGATTTCCTGACCTCTAAAGAAAGTAGCTGGGCTGGCCATGGTATTGCATGCGTGTAATCTCAGCACTCGGGAGGCTGAGGCAGGAGGATCCCTGTGAGTTTGAGACCAGCTTGAGCTACCAAGCCAGCTCAAGACTATCCTGAACTACATAGCGAGACCCTGTCTCAAAAAAAAAAAGAACATAGCTGGACTCTTGGATTGCTGAGAATCCTGCCAGATGCAGAATTTTTTTTTTTTTTGAGACAAGGTATTTGCTGTGACCATAAATTAGCAGCAATCCCCCTGCTTCAGCCTCCTAAATGCTGAGATTACAGGTGTACACCACCCCACCAGACCAGGAGCAGAATTTGTAACTCTCAACCTCTTTGGAAAAGGTGGTAGAATGAAGTGTATTCCTGCACTGGATAGGGAACCCAGGCCCATGTGGAAACTGGTTCATCTGGAGGCAGATTGCTGAGTGATGTCCAGACCTCAAGGGGACCCTCACAGCTCCCAGTGACCGCTCAGGCTGACCCCACCCCGGGCAGCCCGCGCTAGCATGTTCCAGCCCTTGCGGTGCAGTCGTGTGCGGGAAAGGGGCCGGTGTCGTCTCTGATTCCCAAGAGCCTGTTCGTCTTCCCTGTGTGCCTCACCCTGTCTTCGCTGTGGTCTGTGTTCCTTTCTCTTTTTTTAAAAAAATCCCTTTTAACCACAAGTTTCGTCCCCACACTGCTGTGCCCTGTGGTGGGAAGCTAAGCGCTGCGCAGCCGGGTGACGGCCGCGCTCTGCTCTGGCACGTAGCTCCAGGCTGCCAGCCTTCTCTTCGTGGATAACCCCGTGGGCACCGGCTTCAGTTACGTGAACGCGAGTGACGCGTATGCCAAGGACCTTGCTACGGTGGCTTCGGACATGCTGGTCCTCCTGAAGGCCTTCTTTGATTGCCACAAAGAATTCCAGGTACTCAAAGACTGGGGGACAGCTACGTAAAGGAGAGGAGGGGCAATAATGGCACATCCTTCAGACTGAATGTCAGCGTCCCCAACAGTTTGCTGCCTGGATGATTTCAGAGAAACCCCTTTTCCGCCCAAGGTAGAATTGCTTAACGGTAGCCTTTAAGCTGGGTGTGGCGGTGCCCCAGGGAGGCTGATGCAGGAGGGTTGCCATGAGTTTGCGGCTAACCTGGGATATGTAATGAGGTCAAGGCCAGCCTGAACTACATAGAGAGACCTTTTAGCTTGAAGTTGTGACTATGGAGTATCCTAATCAGGTATGGGGAAAAGCAGGAAGCAGGCTTGTTTGGTCTGGACATTACATGTCATAGAAATTTGTAATTACTTGGTGTAAGTGAAAATGCAATTATAGTATTTAATTCTTTGTAAATACCTTTTCTTGCTAGACAGTTCCATTCTACATTTTCTCTGAGTCCTATGGAGGAAAAATGGCGGCTGGCATCGGTCTGGAGCTTTATAAGGTGATGGGGAAGATGCCTCTGTTGTTGTGGGTTTGTTATGATAACTTTGGCATTCACCTGATAAAGGGTATACTTTCAATAGGGTCTTGTACGTGGAGAGTGGAAGCAAGTCTTAGTTGTCACCCTCAGGGCTGGGGACGTAGCTCAGTGACAGAGCACTTGCCTAGCATGTCTGAGTCCCAAGCTGGGCTCAAAATTGTGATCTTCCTACCCCAGCCTCCCAGAGTGCTAGGATTACCAGTGTGCGCTACCACACCCAGCAATGCATACTTTAAAATAAACAGAAGGAGCTGGCACATGCGTACTATAATCCAAGCCCTCAGGAGGCTGAGACAGGAGGATTGCTGTGAGTTCGAGGCCAGCCTCCACTACATAGCGAGACCCTGCCTCAGAAAAACCCAATACAGAAAGAAAGCACAGAAGCCCGGGTTTCTTGTCCTCAAGCCTCAGCTCCACCCTCAAGGATGTGTTACAGGTGCCTCTAGCCCTTCAGTGACCTCCCAAGCAGCCTGCAGACACCTTGGGAGAATCATAGCCCTCAGGGTGGAGGGGACAGACCCACGCATCCCGTGAGCAAGGCAGAGGGATGCTAGGCAGCGCCTCCCTGCTCTACCAGTAGCAGCAGGAGAGAGCCGCCCTGGCTTCTGGCTGGCGTCAGTGATCTCATGCCCAGGGAATCTTGCAAGGGCAGCAGAAGTCTGCGCTCAGGAAAGGCAGCGTGGAAAGCCTCTCTCTGTGGAGGCAAAGATGGAGTCCCCGGCTACCCTTGGTGACAGTGTTTCTTGGTTCTTCTTCTAGGCTGTTCAGCAAGGAACCATCAAGTGCAACTTTTCTGGGGTTGCTTTGGGCGATTCTTGGATCTCTCCTGTTGGTAAGTACGCAAGTTGGAAGCATTTCTTTCCGTCCACTTCCTGGGACTTTCTATTGCGTTGTCCAGATCAGGGATTGAGGCAGCAGAATCTTCTGGGTCTTTGGAGAAGTCAGCGTAGAATGTGCTCATCCCAGAAGACCGCAAGAAATGGAGGAGAACTCACTTCCAGAGCACCCGCCACTGGGCTGACTTCTTTTATTTTTGTCTCACAACAAAGGAATTGAATTTTGCGGGCAGAGATGCTGCAAAGGCTCAGAGAGGGGCTGAGATGCGTTTCTGGGTACGCAGACCAGCGGCCTCGTAAGGCTTCAGATCAGGCTGCGGAACGCAGCACAGGGCGAATCTCGTCAGCGGGTGTCCGTTCCACCACCCCGGGGCTGCAGTGAATACTTGGCAGGTGGGGTGACGTTTCTGTCTGCTGCCCATGTTGCAGGCAGGACACGATTGTCATCTGGTCTTGCAACTTCCGGGTCTGAGTTTTACAACCGCACGTCCTCGCTGGGAGCCCAGACAGCACGTGTCCGTGCTGAGATGTCGGGTGTGGCCTCGGACATCAGCAGAACTCATCTTGGTGGGGCTGATGGCCCAGGGTGTCTCAGCCTCGGCACCGAGAAATCTGGGGTAACCCTTGCTGAGGGAGCCGTCTTGGGCACTGGAGGGTGTTTGTCAGCAGCACCCCTGGCCTCTGCTGTGAGGTGTCATGAGCACCCCCTGAGGGTGACAGACCAAGGGTCTCCAGAGGTTGCCAGATGTCCCGTGTAGGGAGCATCACTCCTGGTTGGGAACTGCCAGCCTCACCCAACACAAGGTGGCTTTCCACAGGCAAAACCAAACTTCAGTGTTAGAAACTGGAAGAGAAGTTGGCTCTGGAGGAGGGAGGAGGAGGCAGAGCAGGGACTGAGGATGCTCTCGAGGCTGCAGGGCTTCGGTGTCATCATCGGGCAGTGGTCTCTCGGGCGTGAATAGTGATCTGAAGGTGCATTTGTGATTGGTGATGTGTGATTATGGCTCAACTTTTGAAAATAATAACTTATAAAAGGTAATATTTTCTCCCAAAAGATAAGGGTTTGGCTTGTTACAAAGCCGGGTCCCCAGTGGGCTTGGGGTGTCCTGAGGCTCCTCTCCTTGGAGTGATTGCTCCTTGCCCTCCTGCATCTTGTGACGCAGAGGTCTGAGTTTCATAACCAACCATCCTCAGTGGAGCACAGACAGGAGCTGTTCATGATTCACAGTGACAGCACTGGCCCCCTCACTCCCTGGTGGGGTCTTAGCGCAGTTTCTGCACAGCGCTCAAGCCCTTGTGTGTAGTAACTTCCTTTAACCCTTACAAAACTCCACATGGGAGATGCTGTTATTATACTAATTGTGTAAGTGACGAAATTGACACTTAAGAGAGGTTAAGCAACTTTGCCAGAGTTGCACAGCCATAATAGTAGAGCTGAGATTGCAACCAGGCAGCAGGTGCTGAAATCCAGGCCCTGACCACCAGTCTACAGGGCCTCTGCCTGACCACGAAGGGTAACCTCACAGCATAGCAAGTCGTGTTTATCCTGTCCAGAATCTACCTTTTTTCTCCTTGCCATGACCCACCTTACTTTATGAATCTACCTGTCCAGAGTTTTTTTTTTGTCTTTTTTTGAGACAGGGTCTCACTATGCAGTTCAGGCTGGCCTTGAACTCCCTTATGTAGCCAAGGCTGGTCTCGAACTCGAAATGATCCTCCTGCCTCAGCCTCCCGAGTGTAGGGATTACAGGCATGCACCACCACACCCGGCCCAGATCTTTCTTTTGAGACAGGGTCTCACTTTGTAGCCCAGTCTGGCCTTAAACTTGTGGTATTGTCCTGCCTCAGCCTCCTAGGGCTGGGATTACAAGTGGTACCACCACGCCTGGCAAGATTTTAACTTTTAAGTGTCACCCTTTTAGTAGGAAGACCATCACAGATCTTAGATCTCCAGTTGTGGAGCCAAAATAAACCTCCCTTTTTTTTTGAGATGGGGTCTTGCTATGTAGTTCAGGCTGGCCTCGAATTCACTATTCCCGGCTGGGCTCAAACACATGGTGATCTTCCTGCCTCAGCCTCCTGAGTGCCGGGATTACAAGCATGTGCCACCACACCTGGCTTTAAACCTCTTTTCTTTATAAAGTTAAAAAAGTATCACCCCCATGTCCCTGAAGCATTGTTTTTCAAAGAAGTACTGTTAACTTCCATGAACGATTGTTGATGACAGGGACCCAGCTAGGCGCTAGACAGAGACACGCAGAGAGCCTCCTTATCTTCAGGAAGGACTCGGCTGCGCAGTCACTAAGCACACAGGGCTCTTTCAGTATTTCAGCCACACAGGACTGTGTAAGTCCAAATGAATTAAAATTCCAGTGTCAGGTTTTCAGAGGCACCATCTACCTTCCAGATGCTCGGCAGTGTATGCGGCTGCTGCCCATCCTTTTGGAGCACACCGACACAGAGCACTTCCAACACTGCAGGAAATTCTACTGGGCAGGGCAGGTCTGCATCAGAGGCTGGCGGGCACGGTCCTGCTGCCTGTCTTCGTGAAGGAGGTTTTACCAGAACACAGCCATGCTGTCTGCTTACGTACTGTCTGTGGTTCTTTGGAGGCTCTGAGGACATCGTTGTACCGTTGCCACAAAGACTGCAGCTAGCAGGCAGAGCCAGGTGATTTACTATCTTTTTACAGAAAGTTTGCCCATCCCTGGTCTAGATCAAGTGGGTGATGATAGGATGCACTGGAGAACTACAATTGATTCTGGTGGTGCATGCTTGTAATCCTGGCACTCTCGAGGCCAAAGCAGGAAGATCTTAAGTTCAAAGCTGGCCGGGGCTACATATTGAGTTGAAGGCCAGCCCAGACTGGGTAGCAAGATCCTGTTTGTTTATTTATTTGTTTGTTTGTTTTACTTTTTTGAGGCAGGGTCTCATTGTGCAGTTTAGGCTGGCCTTGAGCTCACTTTGTAGCCCCGGTTGGTCTTGAACTCACGAAGGTCCTCCTGCCTCAGCCTCCCGAGTGCTGGGATTACAGGCATGCACCACCACACCCGGCTTGATTTTTGTTTTTTTTTTTTAAAGCAAACAAAATGTACCATGTGATCTTGTATTTCAAGAAACTAAGGCATAGGCTTGAAGGTTAAGCTGGAGAGGTGAATGCTAGCTGGGTCACAGGTCTCTTACGCCTGCGTTTCTCAGGGTACCCTGAAGAACACCAGTCCTGTGAGTGCTGCAGAGAGGGCTCTGCTCACATGAGTTTTGGAAATGCTAAACCCTGGTTTTACTGCTTCAGGGTCCACAGATACATTAAGGCTCTGATGCCTGGCAAGCGCAAGGTCATGAGTTCAGTTCCCGGTACCGGAGAAAAAAAAAAAAAAAAAAAAAAAAAGATACATTAAGGCTCTGAGAAGTCCTGCAGTAAAGAAATATATTGTGTGTAACCCCAAAGCATTTAATCACATAGTCATTGTTCCTCATACCTACCTTAAAATCCTGCAGAACTGAGCTTATATGACATATACTTCAAGAGACCTGACCAAAGGGAGCCACTGAAAGTCTCTAAGCAAAGGAGTGACATTCTCAGGTGTGCTTTCTACATTGAGACCCTCTTTTGCTTGTGTCTATTTTTGCTTTTGAGACAGGGTCGTCCTGTGTATTCCAGCCTGGCCTCAAACTTATGGCCATCCTCCTGCCTCAGCCTCCTGAGTGTAGGATTACAAGTGCGTGCCTCTACCCCTAGCGAGACCCTTGATACTTTATCAACACACCTCTCGGGTTGTTTGTCTCACTTAGTGACATGGTAGCTGTGAATTTATCCAGCCCAGCTTGCTGTTGTCTTGCTGTTCTTGAGAACTGTCTTGCTCCTATTTTTTTTGTTTCTTTGTTGTTTTTTTTTTTTTTTTTTTTTGAGACAGGGTCTCACTATGCAGTTCAGGCTGGCCTTGAGCTCACTTTGTAGCCCAGGCTGGTCTCGAACTCACAATGATCCTCCTGCCTCAGCCTCCTGAGTGCTGGGATTACAGGCGTGTGCCATCATGCCTGGCTTCTCTTGCTCCTGTTTGTCTTCTGGAGCTGCTTGTTGCCTCAGGCCCTTTGGAACTTCTTAGCATGGCAGTGAAACAGAACTGAACTGGTTGACAGAATGGCGGCGACGATGGAGCTACAAACACGTTAGGCTTAACAGAACAGACGGGGTACAGAGCAGAGATGGGAGGGTGGGGACATATTTTAAACTGTCGAGAAGCCTAAAAGCGTGCAGATCCGAGCCTCCACCTGCACACCCACCGCCTGCCTCCGGGGATGTATCACTGGCCCTGACACAGTTGCTGGGCCGGGCAGGGTCAGAGGAGCATGCCATTCATTAGTGCCAAGAGCCAGAAGACAGGCCCCGCCCCACCACCCGACTGCCAGCCCCTGAGCTGAGCTGTGGCCTGCCTCCTTGCAGGGCAGAGGCTCAGGAGCCCCAGAGCTGAAGCCCCCGCGCAGCTGGCTTTGGAGGGGAGCCCTCGGGCGGTCAGAGCCGCTGCACACTGAATTTGTACCTGTGTGATTTTCCTCAGATTCGGTGCTCTCCTGGGGACCTTACCTGTACAGCATGGTAAGTGGGCGGCTCCTCGCCTCTGTGTCCTCCGTGGCAAACAGCCCCGCCAACCTCTCTGGCCCTGCCCTCCTTCTGTCCCCAGGGAGAGGAGGCTGGATGACTATGCCTGGATGGTTGATAGTGTTCCTGAGGGACTTTGGTCCCTATAAAATGGGAGACTCTGAGCAGCAGCTAGCACGCTTACTGCATTTTCCACGTGTAGCACTCATCCTGTTCACATTCCCTGCCTCTCATTAGGAAGAGGTTCGGCCGGGCGTGGTCGTGCATGCCTGTAATGCCAGCGCGCTGCGAGGCTGAGAAAGGAGGGTCAGGCTGAGCCCAGCCTGGATAACTTAGCAACTTAGCAAGCCCCTGTCTTGGAGTAAAGAATAAAAAAAAGGGCTGGGAGTGTAGCTTAATGTGAGGGCCCTGGGTTCCAGCCCCAATACCACTTTAAAAAAAAAAGAATTCTCAAATAGGTCCCAGGGTGAAGAGGTCACTGTGAACACCTATGTACCTACCATCTTAGCTCAGTTAACATTTTGCTGTATTTTTTCCGTCGGTGTGGCATGAACCATATGTGAGCTCCCTGTGCGTCTCTGGCTGCGGCAGTACCAGATTTATGCACCCGAGTAAAGCGGGCGTTTTTGTTCTTCCCTTCCAGTCTCTCCTTGACGACACAGGTCTGGCAGAGGTGTCCACCATTGCAGAAAAGGTCTTGGCCGCTGTAAATAACAAACTCTACAAGGAGGCCACCCAGCTCTGGGGTGAGGCAGAAATGGTCATTGAAAAGGTAAGAGGTTTTGACCCACTTTGCATGCTTATATCTGGTAATCTGAGCAACTTATGTGACAACAACAATTTGCAGTATAACAACCATTGGTGAATTCCTACAATCCTGTCTAGTGACACTATGTATTGTCTCTAATGTTCTTTTAAATTATTATTTTCTTATTCCCTTTAATGATTTGATCAATCTTCTATTCTTACATCTGTTAATCTAAGCAACTTCACTGAAGATAACAATATGTAATATAACAAGCACTGTTAATTTCTATCATTCAGTTCAAAACCCCATATCATTTTTAATGTCCTTGTGTTTTTTGTTTGCATTTTGCCATTATTCTTTTTTTGTACTATTTTCTTTAAAATAAAAATTTTTTAAAAATTAAAAATGAAATTAGTCTGTTCTCTAAGATAGTATTGGAAGCATTCCACAGACACAGAAAATAGCTTTCTAATTCCCAGAGTTATTTTTAGTTTTACTTATTTTTCTCCATTTCCCTATACCTCTCCTCTAAATGTAGTTCAAGGGTACTTCAAGGGTAAATAGAGGTCTTATTTAGTGCCACATTTGGATTTATTCATTTTTTAATGAAACAAATCACCTTCTTTATACAATTTATTCATTCGATGAATAATTTAAATGTCTTCTGTTGTCTCAGACTACTTGTTTACTCCATGCCCAAGGATGGCAGAAATAAACTCCTTTTTTCTTTTAAATGTATTAATGTATAATTAAATGTATTTCAACTGATAAAAACACAAAACCATATATAACAACAAGGTACCATTTCATGTTTCAATACATGTGTACATTATGTGATGTTTAGAAACTAATATTGTTCCTTAAAATGATGTTCGATTAGCATTTCAGTATATGAGAAAATGCTTACCCATAAGTATTATATTTCTATAATTTATAGTAGTCAAACATGAAAACAGTTTAAAATGTGCAACAGTGGAAATTGACTAAAATATGATCCATCTGTTTGTAGAATATTCAATAACGATTAAAATCATGTTTATAAAGAGATTTTTACAAAGTAGAGTATGTTTATGATGCTATACTAAGTGCAAAATACAGGAAGTATTATCCTTTTTTTTTTTTTTTTTTTTTGGTACCAGGAATCGAACTCAGGACCTTGTGCTTGTCAGGCAGGCGTTTATGCCACTGAGCTATATCCCTGGTCCTAGGAAGTATTATTCTAATCACATAAATATATGTGGAAAAAGAGAATATACCAAAGTTAATTGCTGTTACTTGTGTAGCAGGATTAATGGAACATTGTATTGTCCCCTCTGTTATTTCCTATGCCAGCAATTTTTGTATGATAACTTTCATATCAGATTAAAAATTTCTTTTTAAAAAATTCAAAGCAAACTCAAGGAAGCCATAGGAGACTTGGAAATATGGCAAACAGCCAGGCCATAATAGTTCTGCATACCAAGTAAAATGTACTGGAGGCTCATTTCCCAATCAGGAGCAGTGATTTGGTCTGAATATGATTTTGTCCCCCAGGATCCCCTGTGATTAAAGATCTAGTTCCCAGCACAGTGCTGTTGGGAGGTGCTGAATCCCTGGAGTGGCTGAGTCCTGAGGCCATGGCAGGCACAAGGTGTCTCTCCCATGACCCCTTCAGTGGCTTTCAATAGTTTGGGTTTCTTTGTTTTTTGTTTTTTTAAAAAAATTTCTTTTAAAGAGTAAAAGAAGGATAACATAATAATAGGGGGGGCTTACCAAATTACAGACAAGTGGTAGGAAATTATCAAT